GGACATGAAAAGAAATGACTGGTCCTAATGAGTGTAAGTTTATACTCTGCGCTACAGAGCCGACAGGAACATCCCACAGGCAGGGTCAGATACTGAGGGGGGGGATGTTTACAGCCCCACTGACATCAGCTGAGGGCTCAGCCTGGCTGTGGAGCCTGGTTTCTAGCATGGCAGTAAGCGTCGGCACGCTGCCTTTTGGCCGCTCTGCGGCATCTGCAGAGCTGAGACGCTGCTGCACAGAGGTGGCTCCAATGCCTTCCCTTCTCCGTCCCTCGTGATGCAGCACCCAAAAGGATCAACAGGAAAGGATTTGTGTGGCTGTCCTCTTCCTCCATCAGGCAGTGAGAAGGAAGGGGGAGAAAGGAGGGGGAAAGCCCTTCATCCTCATGCGTTCCTCTTTCTGCCAGCAGCTGATGGGGAGTTGCCACCAGCCTTCCCATTAGAAGTTTACAGAAAAGGTGAGCTCATCTCATTTGATTAGGACTGTCACCATCAGACAGTGTTTGCAATTAGTCCACGCCAACCTTATTCAGGCTTTGGATGCCTTTCAGCAGCGAAAAAGGGAACACTTGAGCTCCATTGAATTGGAGCGTGGCATCTGCTGCATGCTGGGGGGAGAGGTTGGGGGTCAGCGCTTGATTTTGATAAAGCGTGCCAGATTAATTGTCTTCGGTAATCCTGTTTGTCATGGTAGATGTGCAGAGAAGTCTTTGTGGCACAGCCTGACATATGGGCTGGCCGGCTGCTTGCCTATTCAGTCCCTCCCAGCACATGCTCTTCACAGTTGGCCTAGTTCCCAGCGCCTTGTTTTCCCGGGGAGCTAGCCTCCTGCGCCTATTCAGCTGGCCCCCCGCTCCACAAACAGGCTCCCTAATCTTCAGGCCTGTCTGGGCTATTCAAAGTGATTGCATTATTCAAAGAGATCAAGAAAGAGAAGGGGCGGGAGGGGTAAGCAGAGAGGGGGAAAGAGAGCGGTGCAATTTGGAAAAGAAATAAGCAGCCATGTACTTCAGGCAGAGCTCTTCAGGAGGCTGATTATAGTCCCTCTCCAAATCTGAATCTATCGTGAAATTATACCCTGCCTCTTTTGTAAAATAAATGCTAATAAGAGGTAATTTGGACCCTGCTGATTATTAACTTCAGTGGAGATGGTCTTTTTACCCCATGTTTTGTTATGAATTCTTGGACTTCTCCCCCCTGTTAGGATCCATGCTCCACAGCAGAGGAGGAAGCAGGAGAGTTAAGGAGCAGGACAATTGTGGCATGACAGAGGATAGGGGAGCATCTAGCTGGGCAGACCAGTCTGGAGTTACTGAGAGACCACAAGTGGATCAGTTTCCTGACAATGGATCCAGCACACCCGTGTTCCCACAGTGTAAGTGCAGAGTCAATCCTGCAGCTGTACAGCCACCTTACAACAGCTTGCTTCCCCAGGGAAGGGGAGAAGGGAGATGGTTCTAAGCTGATGTGAAAACGAAACAGAAAGAAATAGCTGAAACTACCCTTACCTGGGTTTCTTAAGTGCTATTTGATTATACATTTAATTACACATTCATATGTTTAACTTTACAAGAGCTCTTAGGATACATAGTGTCTAGTTTGTTTTTTTTTAAATGCGAGCAGCTTTGGAGAGATGCTGAGAATTCAGTATGTCAGTCAAGCCCTGGACTTCTACAGGCCATAACCTAATCTATTTCAAAACCCATCTTGACTGGGCTAGAGTCAAGTCTTCTGCCAAAGAACAATCTTCTAAGTATACGTGTAACATATCAATAGGAAAAACAACAAGCCAAACCCAAAAACAACCAACCAACCCAGCATGAAAAAAACCCAAACAACATCCATCTTCAATTAGAAATAAAGCACACAATTTCCTTCTGTGTTTTTTTTTGGTTTTTTGTTTGTTTGTTTGTTTTTTGTTCTTTTTTTTTTTTGCTTTTTTATGATTCAGAGAAACATCAGAAAGAAACAGATGCTGCTGAAATGTATGTCCTGTATGAACATGCAGAGAGCACATAAACTGCTCTGACCCAGAGTGCACATACACCAGTTATTTCCTGTACCAAGGTGGCATTAGTGTGGTGTGATTTGCATGTGCTGTATGGTCGTCTTGCAGATCTTCACCGTCATCTGCCACATTTCAGCCAATATTGAAGAATTCTCTAAACCTCTGACTGATGCACTACTAAAATTTGGTATAGTGTCCTGTAAGAAAACAACAAAAGCATTGAAGAATGACAGGGAGTATCTAAGTTTAAAAGATCTTTCTTTGATATTTTTTAAAGCCAGTTTTACCTCTCTATGCTTCTCCCACAATGTCTTTAGCATCATCCTCTCCCATTGCCCAGAATTTTCTGATTAACAGCTTGACAAATCAGGTCCTGGCTTCTCCTGAGCCCTAGAACTTCAGGCAAGCTCATCACAGTCACATGCTGTCGTCTGCAAAGGCTCAGCACCACCCAGATGAATTCAGTTTAACATTAAGAGAGCCTTTGAGGCCATTAGGCTTTTGCTGGGTATGTGCTGAAGGAGAGGGGTGGCATGCTCAAGTCAACAATCTTATTTTTAACCACAGTTTAGTTGTTGTAGCAGGAGGATAGCTCAATTTATTTTTGCAACAGTGTTGGTATGTCTCTTAGAGATATACAAATCTTCATCTTCAATAGTGCCACTTTTATGGTCAACTGAAAAAAGGGATTTTTGTAACTCTGAATTTATTTGTTAATATATCTGCAACAATATAGGTTATTTCCCCCTAAAAAAACCTTCAGAAATCCTATTTGTTGCAGTCAGATTTATTGGAAAGAGGAAAAGCATCCCAAATATTCATGTTCAAGGCAAGTGTTTTCCAATTCCCTGAGAAACTGTAAGTTTCATCCATCCTTGATAAAATATCTTGATCTAACATTTGTTTGTGAAGACAATTATCAGAGAAATTAGTAGAACTTCAAAATTTGGTTTTAATGCTTCACACCAACAAGTTCATTCAGAAGACAAAATTTTACATGACCATTGCGTTAATTTTTTCCCATAATTTCTGAGGAAAATGAGAAAAAATATCAGCAAATAATCCAAACTGAATTGCTATCATTCAGTGAATTTGAGTCAAGGTGAAGTGGTCACAGCACCAGCCCCCCAGAGTTCAAGAAACATTTGGATAATGCTCTCAAGCACATGAGGTGGGGTGAGATTTGTGGGGTGGTCTGGTGCAGGACTAGGAGAGCTTTTTTTATAATCATCCTTGTGGGTCCCTTCCAACTCAGGGTAGTCTAGGCAATTTTAGCTATTAAAATTATTCCAGTTACATTTTAAATAGAAGTGAGTAATTTAATCAATACCTTAAGCCTTTATTAAGAAAGAGGGAGGAATCTTCTTTCCTCCAGTGTCTCTGAAAGTTGGCCATAGGCAGGTGGCAGCAACAAATAGGAGTTTCTAATACCAGCCATCCCTGATGCACATACATCTCCCTTTTCTTCTTGTTTAAATCCACAAAGATTTACGAGGAATGAAACATCTTCTTGCTTTAGGGATAGTTTGAATGATATCAGTATTTTTAGCAACAAAATGCACAGCGAGAGATTCTTCAAAGATTAAAATAAAGTAAAAACTGGGACTTTACTTGTGAATTTAGCAAAGTCCTTTAATACATTTTGAGTAATGCTTGCCATGTATTTTGATGGGAACCAAGGGCAAACTTCTGACTTACTGTGTGACCTAATACAGCACACATAGAAAATAGCAGGGAAGGAAGGGAATGAGCTCATCAGTGCCCTCTAACTTGCAAGTTAAGGCCAAATGTGCAACATTAACAAACAGGAAGATGCTATATGGAGATATACTTCACAGCATCAAGCAGTTTTTAGAAGAAGATGGTTGGAAGAGATTTGAACAAGGTCACCTCTCAAAAAATAGCTGTTCTCAGTGGATAAGTAAGTCATAAGTAGTGTGTTTGTGTCCCTGCCACCTTCTTAATAATACTGTTTTCCTTCATACCTTTTGCAAAATTAATTTTTTATTTCTACAGGGAATAAACAAAGTTCCAAGTCCTTCCTGGGTTCTTGGGCTTATTAGTTACCAAAACCATCCAAAACCTGTAGTTGAACTGGGGAACACATGCATGTCGTTATGTTGTATGACACTGATAGTAAATGAAAAACTGTAACATGTATGCAGTGAAGGGTCATTGACATAGCAAGAGCCTCAAGAGCAAGAGTTACTAGAGACACAGCTATTATTTTCTGCTTTTCTCAGTACGTCTACAATTCCATTTCTCTGTAATCTTTGAAAAAATCCAAAAGTAAAAACAGGAATTGAAATGAATCAAGTCCCTACAAATCACACTACCTCTTCTACTTTTTGACATTATTACTTAAGTACCACACCAAAGAAAAACTAAAATTATATTCCAGCCTTATGACGACTACATCAGTTGCCTGACATCAGGTAAGACCTAGTCATTTGCATGATAAAGTCCCCAATGAAGACACAAATAACTCCCTGTATTATAAACAGAATATACCTTCTGTATCTTCATGAAAGCAATATGTTTTACAGTAATTATATGTATTTTGTATTTTTACAAGAAGGAATAAATTTGGACTGACCCAATTCTTCATTACTGTGAATCTATATCCTTATGAGTAGCTAAGAGAAATGCTGCTATCCTGATATAGGACATTCACTACATTCCTGCTTTGGAGACTGAGTATATTTCTGTATCTTATTCTATACCACACTCTTAATGTCCTGTATGGAATGGGGTAATTAAACAAAGAAAATTAAAGTAGAACAATCAGAGTGCAGGAGAAGCTTTTCCTAAGCAGGGAATGTCCTTTCATTCGTATCACTCACAAGATTACTGAGTTAGAGAAGAACAAATTAATCTCAGCACACTGTTTTACATTCTTGTTCATGCCTCCATTTTAAGGTCAAAAATGTCCCAGTCATCTCACTGAACGTGTCAGGAGTGAGAGCAGGTCTAGGGCTGTAAGGACACATACCTTTGACAACGAGCACAGTTGCTGTGGCTGAGACTTCTCCCTTCTCCTTGGGTCCCTGTGAGAGCAGTGCCCCCTGATCAATCACTTCAGGGTGAGTCTCATTGTTCCAGCACTTGAAAAAAAAAAACATCAGAAAGATTTACAAAATATACAGGGTTAAGTAAAGATCCAAAAATGATGACACACACAGTAAATGTCAGCCTAACGTTCTGCCATGCATTTTTAAAAATAATCCTGGGACAGAAACATGTGTTTTGGGTTGGGATTCACATCATTTAACTTCAATAACCTAAAAGTCAAGTGCCAGACTAAAGCTCAGTTTTAGAGCACACAGAATACCCAGGAGGAGCCACCATCTTCTCCAGAGGGCAATTAGTCCTGTTCTAAGATAACCGATCTCAGGTTTAACCTCTGGAATGACGCTTCCTGTATTAGCTATGAGGGATAAAAGTGGGTAGTGTAGTTCAGATGGATACATTCCAGTATAATGAAAACCTCCTTTAGTGTTACCAGTGGAATTTTTTCAGGCAAAAGACATTAGGATTTTATCTGACCGTTGTTATTACACACTTCTATAATGCTGTGCGACCATAATGTTCTCCATAGTTCATAGAATAGGATGTTATTCTGCCCAATAGGGACTTGATATTTTCATGGATGCAGTTTTTACTTTAAAATAAGCTATTAAAGTAAATTTTCATGCGCTTTTGTTATTTGCTAAAAAATAAAATTATTCTCCACAGAAATGGCTCTGGTTTAATAAGACAGGTTGCAGTAAACCTGTTTGCTCTGGTTTGATAAGACAGGTTGCACCATTCAGAGGATTATTTCGGATAAACTGACCAGCCATTGTAAATGCTTTCCAAGAGGAAGAAGTGAGAACAGAGGCCCCACAAGTCAGAAAGTAATGCTAATTCCTCTGTGTTAGAAGACTACTGAATCTGCATCACCATAAAATCTGAAGTGCAATTAATGTGACTGAATCAGGAGACATATGCAACTGAGTATTTTTTCCTTACTGATATCCACCCTAATACTGGAGTAGGCAATAGAGTCTTTAAAGAGTCAAAAGTTGTCCATTTATTGCCAAATTATGCAAAAAAACGTGGAGTGCATAAAGATTCTGTCAAGCTAAGAGAATGTTCACATGTAGAACAAATCTTACCAGTGATCAAGGAATCTGAAAAGAAGAATTTATCAGTCTTTTCTGGACAAGGTCTCTTTTAGCCCCCAATCCTTTTCTTTCTGGCTTCTCTCTTTCCCCTTCCCCCTGTCTCTTCAAAGCTTCCAACCACTGTCATCATTTCCCGTGTTTGCAAATGGATAAGCACAGGGCCCTGCTTCTCAGAAATGCCCTGCAATCAGCTCCCCACCCCCAGCCACTGTGCACAATGTCCTGGTGACAGGTGGCTGCTGCTTTCTATAATTCTGGATACAGCTCCACTCAGACTCAGTGGCCTGTAAAAAAACCTAGAGCTTATGAAGAGAAAAAGCTCTGGCTCTGAAAGTGCTGAGACAGGCTGGTACGGGGACTCAGTACAAAAAGCATTCAGCACAAAAAGCCAAACCCAAATGAAAAGAGCTGCTGCCAGGATCATCACGAGGTCCTCTGCTGCACAGATGTCTACTGAACTAAGCTGAAACTGATGAGTCTTTTATCGCAGCCCCCACCCCCCCCTCCCTGTAGATACCCACAGCAAGACTCAGCTGCCTGGCTCAATTATTATTATTCCAAGGGACACAGTATATGTGATAGACATACGACACTCAGAGAATTAAGCTCAGAGAGGACTGTCTGGCAGAATTCCTCTTTCTTTTTTTTTTTTTTTTATTTCCTTTTTTTCTTTCTTTTTTTCTTTTTTTTTTTTGTTTTGTTTTTTTTGGTTTTTTTGGTTTTTCCTAATCCGCAAGAAGCTCATTAGTTAGTTACAGGAATGGAAAAGATTTGGGTGCACTATGGCAGCAGTAGAAGCAGTGTTTTAACAAACAAATTGTTTTCAGTATACTCAGGCAGGAGAAAGCTAACACAGGTGGCCTCTGCAGCTTGGTACTTACATGGGTGCTCTGTGGTTTATTGCCTCCCTTGCAGCATTTTGCCATTCCAGTTAAATAGAAACAGGACTGCTAGCTGTGTGTTAACGTGATCAGTCTGATCTATGCACATTTTACCCCTTTACCTCATTCTATGACTGAAAGTTCATTACACAGTTTCTTTCCTTGTATTATAAAATGGGTTTATAAATTCTGAGCCAGTTGCAAGCTTGTGATGGGCTATATCTCAGAAAGAATTCAGCACCTAAAAGCCCTTTGCTCTCCAAGGCTCAGTTGATGTTTACTTTTCAGTAAGTCAGAAGCACATGCTTATTTTCACTGTCGTGTTATCAAACATTGGACATAGACTTTGTCATGTCAGAGTGCCTGTCAAACACCTGTTAATTCCTCTGAAAGCAGCAGGCATATAAAGCAAGCAAGGGCAATGGAAGCTGGGCACTCAGCACCTTATGAACCTTGGCAATAGAGAAGTGAGTGAAAGAGAGCTGCCTCTGGTTACTGCAGGTGCTGCAGTTTGCTAAAGAACAATTTTCAAGAAATGTTGAACAGGCAAAACATAAAGATCCCATTGTTTATATATTAGAACGGAGAGCCTGAGGGGTTTTTACTTTAACCATCTGCCTTCCAACTTTTACATATAAATTCTGCTCCCTAATAAATGTTTAACACATTTGGAAATATATATTGCTGGAAAGAAACCAGACCAAACTCCTTCTACTTCACAAGGATAAATTAGCAAGTGAAAAGCAAGACTTTCCAAACCCTCTTTTGTATGAATACAATCATTTAACTTAGGTTTTGGAAAGTTGAAGGTCTAGTCACTAATCTACTGACTCCATCACAGAAGGGTGAATTTAATTTAGGAACTGCTGGCTCCAGCACTGCATTTAGTTATACCAACTTGAAGAAATTTATGTGATAATCCTTTCTATTAGCGTATCTATTCTTTTTTTTTGAGCCAAACAGCAGATCAACCAAACAAAAGATGTGCTTTACTGGCTAAGAAGTTAGCTGGTTATCTTTTTTGGCTGGACTGTTCCCTGCTTTATCTGCAGTGGGTGATGAGACATATAAATCAGTGTCTACACGGAGAGGTGACAGGCTGTTTACACAGCAGGCTTGTATTATCATAGCAATCATATATGGGTAATAAATTAAACTGCATCAAGAAGGCAAAGATTTGCCCCATTGGAACAAGGTATATTTTCTTATAGTTTTACCAAGAGCCTGATAAAATATACAGATCTCTCCTGTAAACTGTACCAAAGCATTCAGACTTGACAAAGTTAAATGTAAAGCATTTCTCTGTTGCACTTTAATTTGCCTTGTTGGAAAGCTGAAATCTTGCATGTAGCCCTGAGCTGTCTTCGTGCATCTGCATTGCCTTGCAAATACCTGCTACCCTTGCAGGCAGGAACAAGGAAAGACTTTGTGACACTTTGTCCACCCAAGAAAGGCTTCATTGTTGATAAGGGAGTGGGGAAACAGGAAAGCAGCTGGACAACAAGACCAATGCATGTGGGTCTGCTCCAAAGGGGAGGGTAGGGCCAGCTTTTCACCACTGGCTTGCTCCAGAGATTGCCTGGGTGGTTGGTGATGTTGGTTTGGAGAGTCCTGAGCTTCTGGATCATGACAAATGATGCAAGTGTAGCTGCCGTGTCCTGTATCAGCTGCTGTTTTCAATTTCCTAGTTAGTCATCAGAGGTATTAATGCAGACAGCAACGTGGGAGCCTTTTCTCACAGACAGCTACTTGTCTCTTGCTTCCAATTCCACCACTGATTTTGTTAGGCAAAACTCAGAGAATCTCCCTCAAGAGAGGAAATATGTCCTTTTGCAGAGTATTTTAAGAATCTTGTATTAGGGAAACAAAATATAAGCACTGTGGAATTCAATATTTCAGCAAATATAAGCATGTAACTACACTTTCACCTCAAATGCAAATATTGGAAGGTTTTGGCCCATCTTCTTTTTTTACTTTGGCCATTTCAACAGGAGGAACTCCAACAAATATGGTGTCTTTCTGATTCAGCACAAGAAGTTTGTTATTGTTTAGACTCCTGAGTGCAAACAATACTTGATGTCATTGGGCCAAATTTATCCCTGGGTTAGGTGCTCTGACGTCAACATAATTACAGTAGGAATTAATTTGCCTCACTGATATAATTTTCTAGATCCTATATCTACTTCCAAAATGCAATTAGAATCCAATTTCCTCAGTCTTTTATTTTGGAGCTAGGCAGCTTGAGTTTCCCCACAAAGAGACTGGGCTAACAAAAAAATGTATCTCCTGGTCACTTACCCGATCATGGTTGTTGGTACCAGCACAAGGGAGCGCAGGCTCAGAGGTTCTGCACTTTAAGTGGAAGATACCTGCATCTCAGAATTGCAGATTAAACACATCCCAGGAGATTCACAGTCCTGGTTTAACCCCCCTAATTTTCTTTTCACAGGTTTTGGTTCATTCACTTTGATAAAATACAACATAGTGATTGATTTTGCTGGGAGTTTACTGGGTGTCTGTACACCATGAATCTGCTGTATAGTAATGCCCTTACTTGGGAAATATTGACTTGCTCTGTGCCATTACAAAGGATTACTGAATCAGACAATATTGAGCAAATGTTTATTATAGTAGGTTTTAACAGTGATTTTATTAATCAATTCACCAGCTGTCTCACCACTTGCACCAGATCCAGCTAAATATAAGCTTTTTAAAAAGTGTATCTCGTTACTTTCTAAAAGCTTCTGTATCAAATTCAGTAATTTGCTAGTACACAAAAATGTGCAGATCTCATTAAGAAACCTTCAAAATACTATAGAAAAAAAGAAATAAGGGTGTCTAAAATAATTATCGAGGAGATCCATTAAGGCAAGCATGAATTTTCCACCTCTTGCAGCAGATAGGTCTGAATGTGCTTTCAGCTCAGCCTATTCTGAACCACATTAAACACCATTGTGAATGTCAGGAGAAGCTTGAACTGAGGTATTGCTCACCACTTCATGGCAGCATGCATATTTATTTGCCAGGAGGGATATTAAACAAAATAAGCCTGCTCTTCTTCATAAAGGTGTTCTGTAACTCCTTGCTTCTGGCTGTCACGCATAAAAGTGTAGCAATCCAAGGCAGAAATACTGCAAATAATAGAAAAAGTGTATGACACACAGAAGAAAAAGACAGGAAAAAACTGTGTGGAGCAGGAGAAAAAAACTGAAAAAATTAAACATTAGCAATTACTCCATTGTTAGAATAATCCATTAGCCTGGGCTCATACCAGATTTGCCCATTTCTGGGATAACAACAGAAACAGATTATATTCACTTCTCAAGGACCACATTTACCAAACCCATGCCACTAATATGCAATCTACAGCAGCAAAGTCCCCACAAGGAGAGAGCAGCCATGCATGAGGCCATCCTGGTCTGTGATGCCCCAATTGCACCAGCTTGAGAAGGGCCAGAACTCTTTAAAAAGAGGGGCTGCATAGGGCCAGTCACAGAGGCTCAAGCTGAGATCAGCTCTGCAAGGCCCAACTGTGCTTGCTGGTTGAAATCCCTTCATGGCACAGATTAAAGAAATGCAGATGTTTATATTAAAGAGAAATGCTAGCCTGTGGCATATTTAAGATTTGTCAGTTTTAGCTGTCCTGTGGATTTGTCTTTCAGTATAATCTTTGAGTCTTTTAGACATGGGGCATGGCTTCCTGTTCTAAGAAGCCCAAGACAGTGCATATTCCCCAAATCTTTCTCAGATGTTTTTGTGTCCTGACTCAGTGTTTCTCCAGATAATGGGATAAGAAAGTAAAGCACTTTGGAGCAATGTCAGTGAATGTAATTTTCTTTATACATAATGTGCCTATTTTCCAGGCATCAAACCAGATTTTAGGGAAATCATCCTCCTTCCCTTCTCCAGGTCCTACTCAAACTGTAAACATGCTTCACATGGGGAAGCATGGCTGGCACCAGGCCTAACCAGATCACAAAACAATTTATATAAAAGTTTGGACCTGAACAGTCTCATGGAGGGAACCTTACTTAATCATCACAGAGATCAGAACTGGAACAAAATTTCCTGGCCCACAGTTTTTGGAGGTTACTTTAGGTCTCTGACTAAAAGTTAGTCATTAATTTGTTGAATGCTTGGCCAGCATGCCAGGGAAAGCTCTCTGGATAACAACAGGTTTCAGCATGGAGGAGATTTTTCAGTGCCTGTTCTTGCAGTATAAGCTGAAAATGACACTAGAAAAGGAGTATAGGATCATATTTGCTTTGTCTGACAAATAGGCTCTTAAGCCTCTGGGAATTAAGACCTCCAACCCACTACGATAAGAAAAACAACCTCTATGAGC